AGAGAGAGAGAGAGAGAGAGAGAGAGAGAGAGAGAGAGAGAGAGAGAGAGAGAGAGAGAGAAGGTTCCGATTCATTCTGATAGAGGCACCGTAAATGATGATATTCCGATATTCTATTACAATGAAATCATTTCAACTCAAATAGAAACAATCCACTTCTCCTATGGGCCGATTTTGAGGAAGAAGTGCCTCGATTTGCAGAACCTGATGTATCAGATCAGATCTGCACCTTCAAGGCCAGGGGCAACATTCCACTTGCTTGGATACTTCAGTTCTGGCAATAGATTTTGAAGATCAACGGCCAGCGACGAAGAATCCTTGCAAGTGGGACCTGACCCCTAAAGGACAGCATAACCGTCTTACACAGTGGATGGCGATGGTCCATGCCTTCCTCTCTGTGTCTTGGAATAGCTAAAGCCGCATTGTCAATTAATTCAAGTCCGCCCGACTATTCACAGACCTTTACTCCGCCTGAGTGCAGTGCTGCGATCTGCCCTATCTTTTGCTGTGTTCTGTTATAGCCAGCAATAATACCTCCACCATGAATGGAAGAAGCAAAAAGAAGAAAGAACTACGGCCATGGGGGGGTGTTGAGTTTCGAGTAGGCAAAGAAAAAGCATTGAATCACAGTTTTGCCGCGGAGGCAGTTTTGCCGTGTGTTTTGCCTTTTTGAAACTGGAACTCGACGCGGCCGTAGTTGGGTCAAAAAAGAAGCAAGACCCATTGATTTCAGCTTTGGGACACATTCATTTCAGCATCTTCTTCTCTGCGTGTCCTTATGTTTAGACGTTTCCATGAAAAGAAATTTCAGATTTCTGATAATGACACATCAAGCACATTCATAACTTGGAGAGCACAGTGCTCTGGGGCAAGACCCCACTTACCTGGACAAATAACTCCGTTTCTGACCGTCCATTACGTAGAAAAACCGATGGCCAAGAATGAATAATCTGGCCAGGTGGGATCTCGCCCCTGAGCAATCATCCATCCATTGTCTGGAGC